CCCAGTCCATAAACATGCCCGTCGGGATGCAGATTATCCCCATCCTGCAGCAGGGCGCCTGCTGAGCGGCCGCCGGTTCTTTGGCGGCTGCCGGCGGCCCGCACTCATCGTCCATCGTCCTCGTTGCCAATTCCGATTAACACATGCTGCGGACTGGTACTCTGCCGTCACCGAGGTTGACAAACTAAAAAGGACATTTAGAGGGGGACCCCGAGCGGCATGGCATGGCCCCTTCACGTCATTTAAAGTGATAGATCCACGCCCACCCCCCCTAAAGCCTCCCGGTCCGAGGCGGCGGCCAGTGCTGAGTGTGAATAACGGCCGGACTTTCCTTGTTTCCCTTTCGCCACCTGCTGTCCAGGCCGGCCGGCGAGGGAAAAAGTTGCCCGTCCCGGAGATTTGTTTCGCTCAAATAAATAAGTCGTCTGTGAAAACTTTCACTCTTCACCGAGCGTAACACAAATGTCTTCGGCAAAAAACCTTTTGTAGTCTTTGTCTTGTCCTCCGTCAGAGTTTCATCCCCTTCCTTCCTGTATTTTTTGTTTGTTACGTATTTCTCACCGCTCAAGGAGCAGGTTTTGCGCGCCCGGCAGAGGTGCGCCCCCCGAGAAACGGCGAAAAAAAATCGAGGAAAGGGGGGGGGGGGTCGCACACCTGACGAGTGTACGCAAGAAGATCTGCATTGGGTCCAGTAAAGAGAGAAATCAGTTGGACGCAGCCTTCGTTTTTCAAAGCTTTTTTTTTTTTTGGGGGGGGGGGTACGTACTCTTTCTACCCGGGGGCGCCATACAGCGGTGAGCGCCCGGGTCAAGGCTTGCTGTCGCATCGTTTGCTCTGAGGCCGGACCAATAACTCAGCGGGGCCGACAACAAGTCATCGCGTTCGGACGCTCCGGGCCGCGGGGCCCTGGCGGGGCCGGGGCGCTCACAAGCCCCTTGGCGCCTCCGGGCTCCGGGCCGCGCGACCAGTCGACCGGAAATCGGAAACGTTATAGGCGAGGCCTTGTCTCTGAGACGCCGCCTCGGCAGAGAAGATATATTTCAACTTTTTGAAAACATAACCGGCCGCGAAGAGGGCAGC